CTATATAAAGGGTCCAAACGCGACCAGAAATCGGGCTAGTTTCGAGTCATTCGTCGACGTGGAAACTCTAGTGAGATCGAGTCTTAATTCTCCTTCGAACAATCTAGTAGGTAATTAGATATCAAATCAGAGGCCCCCGCCGACTTAGTGCGAAAAGCTGAGAGCGCGATAGAGTCCGCGAACACCTACATACATTTGTAAAAACCCGAAACGCGTAATAAATTAGCTTTTACCAGTTTTCTTTGGTTACAAGTTCAATTATTTCCATTTCCTATTTCGAAGCAGTAGTTGGTATAACCCACAAAGATATATTTTTACCGCTCGAGGTATATCTTTATTTCTCTTTCTTACAAAGTTACGAGGCAGCCTAATACCAATTTCTCCAGATACTATCGTTACCTTAAAGGTAGCCACCCGTGCCCAAATGAGCATCGGCTGGTCTACGCACCTTATCCTTATTTCCTTGAAGGTAGCCACCCGTGCCAAAATAAGCATCGGCTGGTCTACGCACCCCTATCAAAAATCCCAATTGCATGCAACCTCCGGCCACCCAACCTGCCTGGCCCTCGGCTCGTAACACAACGATCGAAAAAGGTGAATATGGTAAAACGCGCCGAGCAGTTAACGCAGCCCGGCCCAATTGCAACCGCGCTTCCGATATCGATATCGATATTTGTATGGACATAGATAGCGGCGTTTGCCAGACGCGCGAGGAACAGATTCGAATTTTCGGCGACACACCGGCGATGATTACGCGCGAAGAAAGGGTCCGTCGGATCGGCTCGACGTTGTATATTTTTGTAAAAATTGCAGGTTTCGGTGGCGTACCGTCGGCCAAAGGAAAATTCCCGACGAAATTCAGCCGAGGCAGACGCGAGGCCCGCGAATGAACCCGTCTGGCTCAAAGGCAAAGACAGACGGCCGGCACTTTTTAATTAATGCATCCCTCGTGTACCGACACCGACGCCGACGCCGACGCTTTCATTTTCCGTGCGTGATGTTTGCGCGTGGTAAACGGGTCACGCGGGGGGGGGGGGCACTTGACGCATCGCCTTTGCGATAAGGCGATTAGAAAACGGCCTCCCTCCGCCCGGGGACACCCTGTCGCCTCGTACACTTATCGAGCATCAACCGCGCGCCCGATATTTTTCCGTGGCGAGAACGAGCCCGAGACGAGAAAAAGGTGAACGGGGAGAGACTACGAAACGTTTTCCTCCGCTGGCGTCCTAGAAAATTCCTGCGCGACCGCTCGTTTAATAATACAGCGACGCGCGCTCGCTCCTGCGCCTTCTCCGAAATTCAAAATCGATATTCTCGTTGTTTCGCTGCGAACTTGGTCGACTCGCGTCGGCCGTGTAGTCTAGAAATTTCTATTATCCGTACGCTCGATTAGTTTCGATAATCGAGTTTCCACCGTGCCGTCGACCGACGAAACGGCGCGCGGCACCGGCGCGGCGCCCGTTGAAAAGGTAGGATCGCGATGCCGCCGGGTCGGGTGGATGGGGCCCATTCGTATCCGTGAAAGAATGGCCGTCGCGAGTCCCGTCGCGCGGCATCGACCGGCGCAATTAGTGTAATTGCAAGTTCGGCCAACGCTTGACCTATCTTCGGCAACGAACGCGGTCGAAGGTCGAAACACCGCCGGGGGTCGCCGAAGAACGACGATCGCGGCCGAGAACCGAGAAATTCCCGGTGTTCCTTGCATGAACCAGGGAAATTCTGGAACGATGGCTGGGGTAATGAACGACGCTCGAGAGCAACAGCTGCCGTCCGAAAATATTTGCATTCTCCGGAACCGTCCGCGACAGACTATCGATATACGCGCGCATAGCCGTGCACACATATATGTATATACGTGTATGTACAGCGATACAACGCTTCCGCGAGGTCCGTTCTTCCGTTTTGTTGTACACGCCGATCGTCGGTCGTCGGTCGTCGGCTCGGCGCTCGCGCGCGCGCGAACTTCAATTACGGTAATTGCAAGTTCTGCCGTCACCCAATGGCTCGTTAGAAAGTAACACAATTTAAACGGCGCCCTTAATGGCCGGCGTGCGTCCCCCCGCGAAGACGATAATTACACGGGACGTATCGTAATTTACTTTGCCACCTCTGCCTCGTTACGCCTCGCCTCGTCGCGCCGAGCCGAGCCGAGCCGAGCAGAGCAGAGCAGCGCACCCGCGACCGGATGACGAGCGAGGACGATTCACCCGGGTATAATGCTGTTCCCGAGCCCTTCGACCCTTGGTCACACTGTCCAATGACCCACCGTTTAAACCCGAATGCCGACACGGTCGGCCAATACCGAATCGGCCCAATGCCGTATCGAATTTTTCACGAGCGAGGCCGGTTTCCGGACTCCATCCGAAATGATGCGACGCGTACACCGATGCTCCTGGATCGTAACCAAATATCTGCTCGAAGTATTAACCTTTTAGGCCCGACGCGTCACTATAATGGTTTCCGCAGATATCATCTTTTAGAACGACACGTCACTATAGTGGCTTTCGCGGATGTCATCTTTCAGAACGGCATGCCACTATAGTGGCTTTCGCGGATGTCACCTCTCTGGACGACGCGCCACTATAGTGGCTTGCTTTAGTAGCTCACTCGCTCATCGTTTGAACCAAATAATCGTCTTCATATGCATTGTTTCACACTTCTTTTGTCTTCACATCGATTTACAACAGTCTACAGAGTGTCCCAAAAATGTCTCGCAATCCGGAAATGGCGAGTTCCTAGGATCATTTGAAGCAACTTCTTCCTTTACAAAAATTTTCTCCGAGGCACCGTTAACGAGTTATTAACGAAAAACAGTGACCAATAAGAATCGAGTACGGCTGACCCGAGGCGGCCCAGCCAATCAGCGCACGAAGCCCAGTTCCGCTCATTGGCTCGATCGCTTCGCGCCAGCTGAGCTCTTCTCTCATTGGTCACTGTTTTTCGTTAATAACTCTTTAACGGTGCCTCGGAGAAAATTTTTGCAAAGGAAAAAATTACTTCAAATGGCCTGAGGAGCCCGCCACTTTCGGATTGCGAGACATTTTTGGGACATCCTGTATATACAGACAGAATATACAGTATCAGACTCTGTACAGTACATATCAGACTCTGCCGTCCAGAGAAATAGCCTCGCGCAGAATTCAGCCGTACCTAAAAGGTTAAGGCCTAAACTGTAGACATTTTCGAGTCAGTTTCTCACAATCTCTCGTCGCGATGCAATTTCTGAACGCAGAATCGTCTTTCCTGATTTTTTCAAACCGCGCGCCGCGTATTTCCTGATCTCGAAATCTCCATCCGGATCGTGGCAATTCGAAGATCGCGGAGCCAAGCTCACGCGAAACTAAACGGCAACGAGTAGAGTATACGGAAAATACGGTTTTGAATCGACTTGGTGGTACTTGGGCCGGCCAAATACGAGATCGTCGACGACGGCGAACCCGTTGCCCGGAGGAAATACAATTAATTAGACGAGTAGGCGGTCGAGATATCGCGATGTTCGATTTAATCTACCGCATCGAAAGCCATTGTTAACGGCAGACCGCATCTGGTCGGAACCGCAGCTTGTATCTTGGTCGCAGGGTGCGCGAATCATGCGGAGGCCGTTTCATTAACTTTCCACTTGGCAAAACGATTCAATTTTTTCCCTCGGCCAAGATAGAACGCGCAGTTTACACGTTACTCGAATACACGGCGGCCGTGACGTTCATTTTTGCGGTGCCAAACCGCGAACATCGCCGCCGCTTCGCCGCGCCGCGTCGGCACAGTGAATTTTATTTTCGTTGATTCGAAATTGCCACCCGCAACCGGTCGGTTCCTATCGATAGCTCCAGAGTTGACGGCACTTCGCGTCGGCGAGGTAAAATGTCGTTAACGTCGACCAATAATATTTCACCGTCGATTTTTCGGCGTTCAATTAGCGGTTTCTGTAACGCGGCAGAAGATTCGCGCGCCATTTAGTCGAAAATCCGCCGCGCGGTATTTTTTTTAATTATCTTCGATAAATCGTATCGCGAGACGATAGATTGGCTGTTCGGTCGGAAACAGGAAGCCTCGGTGTTTCGGTTCATTGTCGGCGCGTCGGATGAGAAATATCGGCTATCGACGATTCGCTTTTTGAGCAGAACGCGACGCTTCGTTGCTCGGATAATGTACCGTGAAGGCGAACGCGAACGACCGTTTTTTTTCTTCTTTTTTAACCGGACATCAATCGAGCAAGCGAACAGATTACATTTTTCCTATTAATTAAGGAAATAACTCGGGAGTGTCCGCGGAACGGATATTTTATGCGCGGCTCGGATTTCACCCACTGCCGCGCACTTTCCAATAAACTCGGCCGAGCTGCGTTGCTTTTAAGCGTTGAAAAATATTGTACGATCGGATACCAATGATCATCGAACTCGAGCGAATCCTAAAACGATTAACGTCGTTCCATTGTATTTTATACGCGGGGCCGTGGAAAATGTTTAATCGCATCCTCGAAACTATCGAACATAAGGTTACCATCGCGATCGCATAGCGGCGTGCTCGGCCGGGGGACGAGTCGGCCTTGTCCCACCAGACTCGATAGGCCCCGGAATTTGGCGGTGGAGGAACGGACCCGGTCGATGGTGGGGAGCGTGATCTTGAGAAAGGGTTAGGGATAGCGAGTCTCGATAAAAACAGCGTCGATTTGTACACGCGTATCGCGAGCGCGCATTTCCGTGTGTACGCGACACCAAGGCGCGTATCTAGTCGGAAGAAACCCACGAGGGTGTGTTCGGTGGCAAAAGCAAGAAGCAAAAAGCACTACCGAAACGGACGATTTCCTAGGGCCTGTGCAACGGCCAATCATGAGCCCCGACCTTCGGCCTTCGGCCGTCGGTCGTCGCGTCGTCGGAGCGTTTCGGCTCGAAGAGGGACCGTTTTGGGCGTGTCCTCGTCTCAGTTCCCTCTCGGTCTCGATCGTGGCTAAGTATACTTACGCGCTGTGTTTAAACGAGGCTTTAACGAAGACAAAGGGACCGCCGAGCGAAACAGCGGGACAAAAGCGAGACGGCCGGACCGGTGAACCGAGTTTCTATCGCCGCTGAGGAAAGAAAGCCCGAGCCGCGGAGAATGTCGTCGTTCGAATCCGTGGTTAATTGCATCATTCTGGTCTGTTTGCCGGTGATCTTCGCAGTGCTGTTGGGGGACGAGCAGGAGACAACGGTCTCGAACACCCAAGATTCCACGGGCGTCGAGCAGCGTGCTCCCTTCTCGAAGAATGTCAGTGCCTACAATTGCTCCGCGCCCTGCCACGCTTCTTATCCGTGCCACGACGAGCTTCGTTGTCATCGCCATTGTCGCAACCTGCTGGTGCAAGGGATGATTTGCTCGTGCGACCTCGACGCGCACCGGCCGCCGTTGCGCGACGACTACCTGATCACGCCTGGCATCGGCATGCACAAATTCCACAGCAGATCGGTCACGTGGAACGACGCGCGAAGGACGTGCTACGACGAGGGCGGTCATCTGGCCATCATAAATTCCAACGCCGAGGCTGGCGTAAGTTCCGATCTTTCCTTTTCCTCGCGCCACGTTTTTACCGACGCGCAACAGTATTCCGTGGGATGCGAGTTACGACAACGTATTTCTTCGGGAAAAGTGTTGTTCCTCGAAAACATCGGGGAGTCGTCGGCGAGTTTTCTTTGGTTATTTGCCGCGATAAGAATCGACTAGGAACCGGCCGTGCCTCTCGCTCCCGAAAATCGCCCCCGATTAATTCGCGGACCGAGCGTGGAGGGCCGGGGCGTTTCATTTTACGGGGTCGTTCCGGCCCGAATTAACCGTGTCAGCGATTTATATTTCGCTCTTTGAGCCATCGCAGACGCCATTAGCGCTCGCGAAACGGCGCTGCGCGGCGACGGCGGCGGCGGCGTTGGCCCGTTGAAAGAGCGATTAATGGTAGCTCGATTAAAAGCGTCAGATAGTGTCACTCGGTCGACGCCCCCTTCTCTTCTCTTCACTCCTCTCCCCGTCGCCCCCGCCGCGCCTTCTCTTCTTTTTTTTTGCACAGCCACGGCGCGTCTCTGTCTCTCTGCCGCAGGTGTTAACGGCGATATTTAATCGAGCGAGTTCATCGGTGAAGGGTGCAGCGTACCCGGACGAAGCTTTCCTCGGCATACACGACCTCTACGCGGAGGGCAATTGGGTGACCATCCTCGGCGATACGTTGGCAAAGACCGGCTTCAGCACTTGGAGCGAGAGATGGGGCGGACAGCCGGATAACGGGGGTGGAAATCAGAACTGCGGAGCTTACCTCAGGGAGGGCACGCTCGACGACGTACACTGCGAGGCGCGCTATCCCTTCTTCTGCGAGATACCCCTAGTCAGCCTCGCCTAACGGCTCTCAGGATCCTCCGTCTAGGTCAGAACCACCGACGTAAGATCAACGGCGACGCACTCCGTAGCGTTCCTAACGCGAAGAAAATGCTCGGACAGGAGAAGCTTCCGCAGTCGACTCGCAGTCGATGCGGCCAGTTTTCATCTCGCGGTCAGATTCGCGGCTTACCAGCTGCAAGATGATGGCGAACCGAAACGCGCGGTCCTTCGAAGACGTTTCCACCACCTTGTTGCATCGATCCCGTTCACCAATTTACTCGTTCGCGGTTTATTACATGCGTCGACTACACGGGATATCACGATTTCTCCATTTACGAGCGGGTGTAATCGTGACCCGAAAGCATTAACGGCGCGTCGATTGTTAGAACGGTCCACAAATAACGCTGTTTCCCTCGGCTTCGCGTACTTCGCGCCGCCCCGCGTCGTATCGTGTGTACGTGATCGCCGCGTTTGGGGCCATTACGTTCCGCGGAAGAGAGAAGGACTCGTTTCGCCGGCGAATTTTCCCTCCGACGACCGATTATTACGACCCGTTTTGGGCACGGGCAAGCACAATGCCGCGCAAGAACTGATTCATGTTGGCAGTTAGGGCGTGGCGTGTCCGTCTCTTCTCGAGTCCCCGACCGGGAGACTCGACTCTCGGCGCGTCCAACGCGATAAAAAATGCCGTAGCTCGACCCGGACTCGCTCGGTCGAGCAGTCCGGGGATCGGTTCGCTTCCGCAGTCGAGTCTTCGACGATCGGTTTTCCACCGTGGAGGGAAAATTAATGTTGGAATTTATTCGACCTCCTCCTCTCCCCGCCCCCTCTCCCCGATAACAGAAATTACAGCGATTCGGTGATTTTCCCGCAGCGGTCCGTCTTCGCGATCGATAGAATTTGTCCGTTCCCGGAATCGACTTTGCTCTTTGCTCCGTTATTTTTCGTCTCGCCGCGTGTCGGTGCGCGCCGTTCGCCTTCGAAGTATCTTTAATGGTGTTTCTACTTACAGGAGAAGACGGAAGCTGGCTCTCGAACGTTTCTAATGCAGTGCAAACAACTCCGGGAACAAGAGCGGAGGAACGAGACCAACGAACGGGGCGGCCGTATCGATTTTATTCCCACGACTCCTATCAATGCCATATTTCTGTCTTCCTTCCTTCCCCCAACACCCCCTCTTTTTTTTTTACTCTTTCTCGATTGTACGTTGCAACGAAATAAAGGGAGAAAGATCGATAGCCGGCTGTTCGAGCATGCTTGTTCCTCTCGTTCGGAGTCCATTTATTTCGCGGTCAATTTATTTTCTAATTAAAGTTCGCCGGAGATGCGCCGCGCCGGGAATGTTTCTCGTCATCGAGAATACTCGCGCCTTCGCTCGGTTCGTCGTTAAATATTGCACCGTGCATCGGAGAAACGTTGATCTCGACGAGCACCGTGTCTCCGCGTTGGCTCTATCGGGAACGTGTCGCGGTCATGGAACAAGGTGCGATACGAAAACGTGGACACGCGGCCCGACGTTTCGCGAACCGATAACGTCGGAACGATTGAAAAACCGAAACGTTCGGCGCGAGAACGTTATCGGTCGACGGCTCTTATCGTTGCAGTATTTTTCTCGTATCCTAAGAAACCGCGGAAGAGACACGCCTCTGTTCGCTGCTAATTACGATTCCAGATTTCTAAGAAGCTCTTCGTCTTTCTACGGTGGTTCCGCGACGGCCGCTCCGATCGATCCAGCATCATGGTTTCGCCCGAAATTCTTCGAAAGATTCGCAAATTTGTCCGTTCGACGGCGCCTCGGAGAGCGCGAACGCGTAAAACCAGATAAGGCTTCTATAAACAAGCGGGCGATAACGCGTCCTGATTTTTCGATCGGGCAAGGAACGACTGGTCGGCTAATTGAGGAAGGCTTGGAAAAAGTGCACGGCACCGCGGAGAACGAGCACAGGGGCATCTTGCGTAACGGTCTAACGATTTGGTACATAAATAGTGCTGACAAAACGCGCCGCTGCATTCGCGGATTCAAACCGATTCCATCACCCAAGTCCGAGACAGCGCGCGGAAGGTGCTGCGAAGATGTCCAATTCCTTCGTCGATCGCGTTATCCTGGTGATCGGGATGATGGTCATCTTCGACCCGTTGTCCTCCCGATCGGCTCCGGCACCGAACCCGTACTCCCTGTGGAACAGTCGTTGCTACAAGCTGCACACGAAGATCGAGAACTGGGCCCGGGCGCGGAGAGCCTGCATCCTGGAAGGCGCTCATTTGGTCGTCATCAACAATAAGGAGGAAGCCGACGTAAGATCCGATTCTGCTCACAGGCCTTTTCGTTGAAACGCTCGGCAATTTCTTTTTAAATAATGCCGACGTCTCTTTTCTGCGATGCGAGGTTACGATCGACGTCGCGCCGGAAGCACCTTGGAACGATCTCGAAGACGAGAACATCATTTTTCTAGTCGTTCCAAGGTCGCGGTTGTTCGCCATTTTCCGCGGAAATCGCCGAAAGCTCCTATGACGGTATCGCGTCTCGTTTCCAGATGTTGAAGGGAAAGTTTCACGAGAAAGACGAAGCCGTGGGGGCGAGTTGCCAGGACGCCGTCTTCGTGGGTATACACGACCAGTTCGACGAACGCGATTGGGTCACCATCTTCGACGAACCCATCGCCACCGTGTTCAACGAGTGGTCCGACAAGTGGGGCGTACAGCCCGACAATTTTGGCGGCCATCAAAACTGCGGCACTTTGTATCGGGACGGCAAGCTGAACGACGTGCCTTGCACCATGAAACTTCCCTTCTTCTGCGAAAAGGAATCGACCGATGACATCTGTTCCTGATCTTCCGGGACCTTCTTTGCATATAAATCGTAAACGCTTGGCACATTCGGTGCCATATTCGTTGTTAGACCCGGACGGCGCTGCGTTTCGAACGATCGTTGATTATAGAATTGCTGTACCTCGATCTTCCGTCGAATAAAATGAAATAAACGAGACAGTTCCTAGGACAAGAATTTGTTTTAGTCGCTTCGGTCGAGCTCGACGCGTCGGACGACCGAGGAGACGGCGGGATCGGCCGACGGTCGCAGCGAAGTAGAATTAATTTCTGGAAATCTAGTTGTACACCGATAATCGCGCGACCTCTTGATCTCTCGCCGCTGCTTGTTGACTTTGTTGCTATCTGCTCCGAGATACGACTCCGGATAATATCGCGCGACCTTCGAGCGACGAACGATCGACACGGTTAATCTCGAACGCTCCAGCGATACGGACGATCGTCCTTGGCTCTCGTTGCCGTTGCAATTTTCAGCTTGCTCTCGTCGTACCCTCGTATTTTCGGAGCCGCAGTTTACGAGCGCCGTTACAGCGAGGATCGCGAGTTCCTTTCTTTTCAGCTACGTTGACACGCCGTTCGAACGCGACGTTGGGAGATTCTATTCGATGACGCGCGTATCAGGAACAGATGAACCGTGTCCACCGTACGTGGACGGAATCGAGTAAACCCGGCCGCTAAACCGGGAGGCGAGAATTTTCAAGCCGTCGCAATGGATTTCATCGAAATTGGCTATCGCCGCGCGGCGCGCATTCCGATAGCTGCTGCACGCAGTTGCATTTAATTAAACGCAGAACGAATCGTTCGCGTACTTATCGTCGGGCCTCTACGAATTCGTTCATCGGAGAAACCCCGACGAGTTTCGCCCGGATTTGAAACTCAAACGATATCGCCTATCGACGAGATAATATAAAACTGCCATAAAATCGGCCAACGAGTAACGAGTTACGACGTTTCGTTCTTCGGAACTTTGCAACCGCCTAAGACCTAAGAGAACTTCTCGCCGCCAGACCAGGGATTCTCAATTTGTATTCCGCGGGAGCCTGGGATTCGACCGATGAAATGTCCACCGTGAAATCAGCTCGGCTCTCGAGTTCTGTAATTTCTCGTCGACAAAAAAGTCTTATCCGTGCCTGCAGCATTAAGTCGCGCTTCGAGCTAGTCGGGCCTCTCCGCGAAAAGACGCGTATCTATCGAGGCGATCCAATTTTTCGATCGAGTAGAACGCAAACCGAAGAGGCGTTATTAAGGTCGTTGGAGCGTTCCATCGAAAAAGTACGATAGAGTATCTATCGAGGTCGAGCCGTGACAAATTCTAAAACTGTCCGATCGCGACTGTAGACTGTGGACCGTGCAGATTGTGCACAATACGCGACCGTGAATGCCGCCGACACAGATCCGGACAACAGGGTTCGAGAGTTTGAATAGTCTCCGTCTCTCCGGACGCTCGATTCTCGAGAGGAAGGGAAGGTATCTCGTCGTTGTTGGTTCGATCTTGGCACGCGATCCGTTTTAAACGGTGTCCCGGCAAAGGGTAACGGGGACCTTCAGGCGAGACCGAAGCTTTCCGCGGACGGATCCGGACGGTAATTCGCGCTATTAAAACGGGCGGGATCCGAGCCGAGTGAATTTTTTCGCGAACGCGGTGCCTCCAGTCTCGAGAAACGCGCAGGACGTGCTCGCGGCCCGCGGTAGTTTGCACAAGATTTGCGTGGGAGAGATGGAACGCTGCGAGAGGGTCGCCAGGACGAGAGCCCGGTCATCCGGTTATCATAAATTCCGAGAGCGGAGTCGCCGCATCGCGAGTTCGAATAACTCGTTTTCTTCCGCTTTGTCTGCGACGGACGGCCTCGGAGAGCTCCCGAGTCATTACCTTTTCCACAGCCACTCGACTCGTCATGGATTTCTATGTTTCACCGAGATATTTTATCAAGGATCTCTCGCTGTTCCATTCTTCCCGCTTCTCGTTTCTTGAAAATATCGCTCGATCGCCGCAGATTTCGCGCATTCGTGTTCGCATTCCCTTTGAGACTCGCGGCGCACGCGAATGGTGCACATTTTCCATTCAAAATGCAAACATTCTTGCGTTTTCCAGTTTCCCCGAGCAACGAGGCCAGCTTTTCTCGGCTTAACCTTTTAGGCCCGACGCGCCACTATAGTGACTTGCTCTAGGAACTCACTTGCTCATCGTTTGTACCAAATAATCGTCTTCATATGCATTGTTTCACACTTCTTTTGTCTTCACATCGATTTACAACAGTCTACAGGGTGTTCCAAAAATGTCTCGCAATCCGGAAATGGCGGTTCCTCGGATCATTTGAAGCAACTTCTTCCTTTACAAAAATTTTCTCCGAGGCACCGTTAACGAGTTATTAACGAAAAACAGTGACCAATAAGAATCGAGTACGGCTGACGCGAGGCGGCCCAGCCAATCAGCGCGCGAAGCCCAGTTCCGCTCATTGGCTCGATC